CAGATGCAAAACTAAAACCAATCCAGCGCGACTTGGCATCCGCATTTTCCCGCGCAGTAGGCAGTTTGGTTGTTTTTTACTTTGAGTTCTCATTGACCCTTGAAGGTATTTTCATTTTGTCAGACTGGCCGTTGTGATTACTTTGGTTTTGGTTTTGCGACATTCGGTCGAAAAGCCCCTTTTATTAGTCGATTTTAATTTTATTGGCTCATCATAGGTGTGTTTGTCACAGTAACCCTTATAACAAACCTCGGGCCAATGCAATTATATTGATCAGTTCCCCGAGTTGAAATATTTATTCCCGTTTGAAGAGAAGGTAGCAACTTTTTTTCGCATCATTTAGTTAACTGTTGTTTTGTTTGCAGGTATTTTCTGTTCACAGACACCTCCTCACTCATCATTCACTGACAGAGAGAAATTGGTAATTTATCACTGTTGTTATTTTTTGCTGACTCGTTCAAAGGGAGGGATTTCTGTACTTTCGTATGCCAATGTGTTGCGTGACGCTCCTCTCGTGTCACGCTGACTTAGTCCATTCATGACTGCAGCACTTCAATTTTCCGAAAAAAATTTTTTTATCGATTAAAATATCTTATGGTAAAGGAAAAGAGTAACCTCGCAGAATCGTTTGAAAGTTACAAGAGTGACAAAAAGAGTGGTTGACGTTTGGAAGTGTGATGTTGAGTACTTTTGTTCTCAAACCGGATTTGTGAAATAGATCGTATTTTGACAGGAGCTCATTGCCCTGATGGGTAATGAAGTTTTTTCCTCTGCTGACCTTAACTGAAGTACCTCTCTCAGGGTCAGTTGTTCATTTTTAATTTCCTTCGCTTTTAAGGTTTCACTTTGCTGCTCGTTCCTGGGAAACTGTTAGAAAATCAAGTTTGATCTCCGAGTACAACAGACTCCTCTGTTCTCAGTAACCGGAGAAACTCATAGAGTGTTAACAGGAGACAGGGCGCTGTAACGATTCGGTTCAGCTTTTGGGATACTGGACAAAGGCTGTGAAGAATTCGTTCTTCCCGGGGATATGACTTTGAACTCTTTATATGAAGATAAAACTCAGAAGTTTAAATAATTACATCTTACCGTCAGGTACTTACTTCAAATATTGAAATAAATGTATTTATTGTCGAGCAATGTGTGTGTGTTGGTGATTACTTTCATTAGTCATTGTAAACTACTATTAAAGAGCGCTCCACGTTATTATAAGTCTATCGCAAAATTATGATTCAATGCACGCACGAGAGACGGAAAAATAAGCAAAACTACGTACATGGGACTATTTTTTATTAAGAGTCGAAAGTATTATGTCCTTGACATTTTTCAAAGTCATCTATGACTTGAAATGTTCGTCCGTTGCAAGTCTCATTGATTTTCTCAAATAACCTCTTCACCTCTTGCAGTCTAGCCCTTCTCGGCATTGCTAAAAGTGTCCTTTCAGTCTTTTCTTTTTTCCTCTATGGCGTTGCTTGGAAATCGTGGAGGCTTTCTTTCCCCTCTCTGAGAGAAAAGAGGAAAGAGAGGGGAGGGGAGAGGGCGGGGCGCGGGTGTGTGCTCGTTAAACAATACACGAGTAAGTGTTAACAAATATTTAGAGACCAAGATCGCCTGTTTAGTGGTGTTCACGCGAAAATGAAATCTTTACTGTGCAAAACCTGAACCTTTTTCTGGTTACACCCCATTTTACTTTTCGTTTGGAGCAGGCCAAGCCTTTAAAATGGTGAGTGGCGCAATTCCAAACACTGTCCAGGTCACACCGTGTTCGACATAATTGCGTGCGTGACATATTAATTATTATTATTTTATTTTTTCTATCGTGCTTACGTACTACAGGTGAGCGTGATGGCAAGTTATATTTTTCTTATTACGTCCTGAGATAAATTTCAAATGTGTGAAGTGGTCTTAACAAAATTCGTAAACCGCAGTGAGGCAGGTTGGTGTTTTTACGTCAGATCGAGTTACGTAATAGAGATTCATACGTTTCACACGTTTCGTAGATCAGGCTCCAAACACGTTATCTTGCACAGTGCACATGAGGATCCTTTTATGACGGTCACCATAACCTCTGAACATGATTAGAAAACGTGAGACTTGCAGTGTTACCAGTGTAACCAAGAAAGAAAAAATTATTTTCAGTTCACTAACAGCCCCAGGTGAGTTCAACTTCTTGTTTTAACAGCTTTTGATCCACTAGCTGTTAACAGCGCCAATTGTTTACAAAAAAATTAAATCTCTAAATAGCCAAACCGGTACAGAGTTATTTCATCAACAATGATTTGAATTAAAACGCTTTGAAGCCACATTCTCCTTGGCATTCAGAGATCAAGAATTGCGACAAAAATTGTGATTCTTCGCTGGAAAGTCCTGAATTCAGCTACTGTCAGAGTTATAAACTGACTGATGAAGGTTGCAGCATACCAGAAAATTAATTGTCAGGAAATTTGACTTGGAGCTCCTCTGAAAATTTTTACTGGTCAGTTCTTGCTTAAGCATGAAGACAATTAAGATTTACAAGCCCCTCTATTAGATGAGTCTTTTTTTCTGACATCTACTGCATTGAACAGTCGTGCTGGATCGATAAATGGAAAGAAAGTAACATCACTCCTGTTTTTAAGAAGGATATAGTGAGGCTAATAAATCTAACTACCATGCAGTCTCCATTTTACCTGGAATTTCGAAAATATTTGAAAGAGTTATGTATAATCAGCTGTATAATTACTTTGTACCACATTTACTCTCAGATAGTCTGTCAGGATTCCTTAAAAGTCATCCAACCTGTTCAGCCATATTAAAGATTACTGAAGATTGGAGAACAGCTTGGATGAGAATCAAATCGTATCTGTAGTATCAATCGATCTTAGCAAGGCTTTTGATACGATCTACCATCGCCTATTACTAAGAAAACTGAAAGAATATGGCGTTTCTACTCCATCTCTCAAGTTAATCTGCTCTTATCTCATCGGCCGACATCAACGTGTCAAAGTGGAAAACATCTTCTCTGAATGGCGTACAGTACAATGTGGAGTACCGCAGGGGTCCCTGCTCGGACCCCTGTTCTTTAATATTTATATTAATGATATTACCTTCATCACCAAAAATATGCAACTAAGACTCTACCCTGATGACACCACCTCCTACTGTTCAAGCAACTGCCCTCCTGTCCTACAGCTATACACAAATGAGGACTTGTCTCTACTTGCTAAATGGCTAAATTGCAACTACTTAAAAGTCAACTCAACCAAGACACAAGCCATGGTCCTTGGACCGGATCGTCAAATTACAACTTTGACCTATCATTGGACAATAGCAATATCGAAATAAAGGACGAACTCAAATTGCTTGGTGTGACAATTGACAGTAAATCATCATATACTACTCATATTAAGAATATCCTTAGTAAAATACATGCCTAAGCTGGTGCTCTTAGAAGAATACGCAACTTTATATCGATAGTAAAACTGCTATGAGAATATATAAGGCCTATATACTTCTTCATTTTGATTATTGTTCTCCTCTTTTTGTTGGGCTGTCAAGCGCCTTATCTGACGATTGAACGTACACAATTTTATATACTTAGAACATTATTTAAATTTCCTAAATCAATTGAGTATGCTGAGTTATTAAGTCAGCTTAATCTTGAATCTATCAAACAGAGACGATTGTCTCAACCCCTAGTTTTTATATTCAAGGGATATCATAATTAAGGACCAATTTATATCAACAACTTATTTAAATTCAGACAGTGTAGATATAACCTTAGAGGTAGTGGATCCCGCATGGATCAGCCGGCTCCCAAATCTCATTTTGGGCATCAGTCCTTCTCTTATATTGGTTGTCGGCTGTGGAACAGCCTTCCTCAAGATGCCAGGGATGCCAAGAGCATTACTATCTTTAGAATTCAGTTAACCAAGTTATAAATTTGGATACCAAAGTTAATGGCAAATGCACCTTCTACGCTTGATTCACGCCTTCTGCGTATTTCAATAATAGATTTTATTAGCCCTTAATCTGAAATTATTTTGAGCTTGTATGTTTTGGGCATATAGCATGTATTTTTTTTTTCAAATTATTTATTCATTTATCATATTATAGTTTCTAATTATATTAGTTAGTATACATGTAAATTTTTGTAACGAGCATCTTTTTGCTCATCAATTTTCGTGTTTAAATAAAGTTATACCAGTCCTACTTACTTACTTATCTGGTAGCTTGTAACTACAACCGTGTCCTATCCTTCGCTAGCTTATTACCCCTGCCTTACTGAGGAAGACGTTTTAACAAACCTGTGCGCGTGTGTGCTTTGGGATTACGTAGGTTAATAATATCGTAAGCAAATCACGCTGACCTTTATACTTTTAACGTGTGCAATTTTATTTGAGAAAGTTGAAAGTTTTTTAGTTTATCGATTGGCGTTTTGTTTAACGGTCATTGTCATTTACCAAGAGTCTACAGTTTTCCATGTTTGAATTAAAGTGTCTGTTTGGATTTTCCATTTCGCTTCTGAACAAGGGTCTAGGCTTTGGGAATGTACATCTCTTTCAAATATTATTCCCCCCCTCCCTTTTATGAGGGTTAAAAAAGGACATAGCTTGGACTTATCATAGAAAGGGTTCCAGCTTCTTAATACACCATTAATTTCTTCTCCCTTATTAAATTCATAAAATAAGAGCATTAAAGTAGTATTAACCATTTCTGTAGTGCACATTTTAGGGAATTGCTCATTTCTATGAGGGGGGTCATGGGCAAGTCCAAGACACCCTTGCCATTCTCCTGGGAGAGTAAGGGGAAGTTTTGTTGGATTTGGTGTACCGGTACTACAAATTTCCTAAAGCCATATGTAGCCTTCAATAGTTGTATAAAAAGAAATAAGTTATGAGGGTAATATCAGGCTGGCATGCTCAATTCATTTTCCTTTAGAATTCTTGGGATAGTGCATAAATTTACTGGTAGCTGGTAATTTGCAAGAACACTTTTACCTTCACTTCGTCAATGACAAATGAAGTTTCATAACTTGGTATATTTATTTTGCAATTGCTTAGAGAAGGAATTACTTGCAGATTACATGGTACTGTACAAACATCAAGCTGGGTCTGAAAACATAACCACATTCTTGGGTGGGCCATTTTCTTCAGTGCGGCTCTTAACAGGAGATGGAGCAGCTGGTTCAGGGGTTTTTGCCACAACAGGGCTGGGTGACTTTTTACATTGACTACTCTGGCTTGGTGGACGTGGGCTTGTTTTCCCTTCTTGTGGGCTTGGTGTCCATACTTCTTCTGGCTGGGGTGTTGGAGTCCTTGCTTTGTCTGCAGTTTCTTCTTTTTTAGGACTCGGTGTGCGTGCAGGTGGCTCTGTTTCTTTTTGCATGCTTGTGGATATTGCATTTGTCTTTATGGTCTTTGTTTTAAGAGGAGGTTTTTTCATTTCCCATGTACCCACAAACTCACCCCAGGGACTCTTTGAAGAGCGTGGGATCCCTGGCAAAATGTGTCCTTGGTCATTGCTAATTGGCTGGGTGAAGCCTTCAAAAGTTGATGGACGCTATAAGTATAAAGAAAGAGAATTATAAGGTGGAAGTGTTAGTATTCAAACTATACTGATTCATTCTGAGTTGTCACATTTCAGGAGTGGTGGGGGTTGGGTGGTAATCTTGGTTATTCCCACAGACCTACTACCCAGGCTCCATTAATGTTACTGACGGAGGAAATGAAAATGTTTCCATTTCCTTCGTTAGCAACATTATCAACAACAACACCAACATAGACATCAGTAATATATGTAAACCTCAAACAGAAAATATAGAATGTTAAGAGAAAAACCAGACAAAGGAGCAAACATCTAACTCAAGTGTACTTTGTTTGTCGACAATTAATGTATGGCTCAAGCCGAGGAAATGGTTAATCGGTGAAAACAAAATTATGTCGTATTTCTTTCTATGCTAATCTGCGGTCTGTTAGTTTAATCAAAAATATCTCCATCATCTCTTACCTCTTTGAATCTCTTGGGAATTTCCCAGTTCTGCAACCTACGAGCAGCGAATTCTTTCTCGTACTACGGATTAAAAGAAACACAAAATAAATTGTCTACTAGTTCACGTAAAACTTACCAAATGTAACAATCAAGGTAAGATCGATTTAACTGTTCTTCCGTTTAGCTCGGAATTCGCAGATCGACCGGCGCCGTTTTTGGGTGACTGACGACACTGAAGCATCATTTAGTACCACGAAAATTCTTTCTTTCTTAAAGAAAATACAAAATGCTTTCATAGTACCTGATTTGCGCTAAAGTGCGTCGACATCTTCGCTGTTTGGTGAGATGAACGGCAACAAAGCACTCGATAGTTGTAAGCTCGTAAGAGAGTTGTTATGACAACGCTTTCCTTCGTACTTAGTCTTCCTCTTCCGAGTGTTTCCCATCACATGATTAGCACGAATCTTTCGATGGTGGTACTATTTTAGTAACCTCGTCTAGGCATGAATCCATTAAAGTTATTTTTACACGAAAGGTAACAGGAAACTGAAAGAAACCTCAGCAGAAGTCGGTAAGCGTATAAAAAAAAAGGAATTTTGAAATCAGTGGACATTTGCATTTCACAATCAAGTTCACAATCAGACTGAACAGAATTGGCGTAGCATAGAATTGTGCCGGTATCAAATATGGCGCTTGGGCCTAGCTTTATTTTGAATTTACTGATGTCTAAATCAGCCTTTTGATGGCATAATTTTCTTCAGTTTGTAGCTGAAACCAAAGATTTATTTTCTTCTAACAGGTTTTCTCCAAACCGAAGTTCTGATCTATTCAAGAATCACACTGCAAACCACTATCCAAAATTTGGATTATGTCGACGCCTGAGCTACAATTTCGTGACAATCACCGAAGGAAGGTCCCCTATGGGATACGTTTCATACAGTGGATCGGACGAGAACGCCCACAAGCGTAAGATTACATAAATTTTTGTTCTATGGACCTCTCTCTGTTGTGGTGACTGTGATCTTTAGCTGTGTCAACCAACAAGTAATCTTTTTATCGTTTGATATTGTTCATTTATAATTTCAATTCCATCTTGTTCCAGCTATCGTGGATGGGTCCTAATTTTAACGTTCTTTGCCTACACCTCGTATCATCTCTCAAGGAAACCTATCAGTGTCGTAAAGGTGAGAAAATAGAATCAACCATTCCATGATTTTGTTTACAAATCGGGGTAATGGCGTAATGATAATTATAGCTCTTGTTTTTCTTGGAAATGGGCCATCCCCAAAAAGCCTCAAGAATCCACCAATGTTTGTGATAATGTTTCTTACGGACGTTTCTAAATATAAGGCTTTTCATTTTTATTTTTCCTTATCCCCCACCTTCTAAGTATTATTTTGGTCTCAGTGTTAATCTTCTCTGAATAAAAGTTTATAAATCTGTCTATCTGGTAGATTTCTGGTAACAATGGGTTGTTTATAAAAATAATATTGTTTAAGGAAATATCACTGTGGAATCTAGACCTTAGATTTGGGGGCAGAGGGAGGGGAGGGTGGGTTGGAGAGCATTTTTACATTGATATTCATTAACTTGAAGTAGCTGATGGTTCTCAAACTATAGCTTATTTAAAAGGTCCAGTTCTCTCAAATGGACTCAAACTTGCACGTTTTTGATTTGTAATATGTACTTCAGAGCTGTGAGAGACTCGTGCCCATTATAGCAAGTACTCAGTGCATTAACCTTTGTCACTTACTAAATAAACACCATTTTCACGTCATCAATCTCACCATACATTGTGTTCAGTTTCATTCTCAAGGCTTTCCTCTGGATGTGGGAAAAAAACTGAAATCGTTTGAGGAGAAAGGTGGTTTCTGTTAGAATTGTGGGGGATATTGAAATATTTCTTAAGCATTTGTTCAAAAATTTTTATTTGCATGTAATATTTATGATTTCACACCTCTGCAAACTCTAGGAAATTCCATTGGCAGGGATTAATTTGCTCTATAATTCACCCAGTCTATAGTTAAGTTCTAATTCCAGAAAATGAAAATGTATACAAACTTCGCCAATGATACATAACAAACTAGGGCATGTTTGTTCATAATCAAATATTGTTTACAATGATGCAAGTAGTGTTAGTGTTATAAGTTATGTTTGTGCTGTGTGTACAGTGAGTATTACAAACTTTTTACCAGTAGTATTGGGTATATCATGCCTGTGTACAAAACTAGTTCTTGTGCTAGGGAGCTCACAGTTTTTAAAGAGAAGTTCTTTATAGAGGCATCTACATTGAGAAAAAAAATTTAGGTGGCTAGGAATTGTTTGCACTGATTTTTTGAGATTTCTGAAAAAGCCATACTGTATGCTGATAGCAATCCAGTGATGCAAGTAGAAATGGGGGTTACTAAACTCATTTTTGAGTCTCTGAGAGATAAACCAAGAAATGGGTGTGCATCTAATTTAAAACAATTTTTTTTATCTGTTTTTATCTGCTTTTGTTGGTTTTAGGGAACATTGAAGCCAAATTGTTCTAAAATAACTGCAAGTTGCCATGGCTGGAAACCATTTGGTAATAAGTTAGAATATTTTTACAGTGAAACTTAATAACTCATTTTCAAGACATGCCAGTAACTTGCTAAATGTATCACATTGTATAAAATTAATGTAACTGACTGATGTAGTTTTGTTATCCGTGATTATCAGACTCACCAGACACTGGCGACGAGCTTCTTGGAGCATTGGATCTGGCGTTCCTATTTTCCTATGCTGTTGGCATGTTTTTCAGGTATGTATAACATGGATTTTACATATTATGGTATTAAAAGATTAACTCCCAAGATCTCAAATTGGTAATTCTCCTTATGGTCTGCCATACAATTCTTATGATGTTAGAATGGAGAATTTGGTATCAGATCAACTGATAATCCCTTGAGTGATATTTTCCTTTATTCTCAATACTTGTGTGATTGATATATTGGTATTGATATTGTAGGGAGAAATTCTGTCTTAGTCACTTGTGGGAGTAAAAGGGTTAATAAACATGTTGATTCAATATTTACACCAAATCACTTTAAAACTTTTGCTTAATTCTAGATCTTTATCATGATTATTATCATCATTATCAAAATGTTCTTTGTATTGACCCTTTGAGTCCTAATAGTGACCAGCTTCTAATTTCTTCTTACATTATCACCCCTGAATCAAACATTAAGGTAATGAGAATAAATGAAATGATCACCTTCAATATCACCCCTGAATGAAACATTGAGATCTCAAGAATGATCCTTTTAACTCCCAGAAGTGATTAACCTGTAACTTCTCCCTGTAACATCTATACATGATCCAGCAAACAGGTAATGAGAATACTCAAACTTATCAAGTAGAAGTTGTTGCCTTGATTGAACACCAAATTCTCGTATCCAGTTTACAAGGAAATGTGTAGCAGCTAGAGGGGAGAATTCATAATCAGATTTCGGGAGTTAAAAGGGGTTAAAGAAATGATCAACAACTTAATACCCTTTTGCTTTTTAATTGAATTCTCCTTGTCAGCAACTTAATTTATAATTAATATATGACAAACAGTACAGAGAATGTGCACACTAATGGTAGGGTGTTAATTGTAATATATTTTCTTGTTTTTTTTTCAATGGCAGTGGCTTTGTTGCTGAGCACATGGACCTCCGGCATTTTCTTACAGTGGGGATGTTATCCAGTGGTCTTTTTACAGCATTGTTTGGCATGGGATATTTTTTGAAATTTCACTCTTTTGCATATTTCATCACTATCCAGGTACATACTGTGATGTATACAATTTCAAGTTCAGTTTGGTTGAAGGTAAAAAAAGATTTTCACAAGCCAGGATAATTTCTTCTTACTTGCTTCTGAAACAACATTATGTTTGATCAGTTTAGGTAAAAGTCCTTTTTTTGACCTGGTATATAGATTTTCATATGAGTTTACATTTCATGGTTCAAATTATAGAGAACTGGTATGGGCTAGGATGAGTACATCTATTTAATAAGAATTTCAAATTAGGTCATATTCTGATATAATTTTCCATTCATCTTTGTTAAACGAGTTGAATCATGTTATGTAGTCAAGTGGTTGTTTAATTTAATTTAATTTAAGTTTGTTATTTCTGTTTATCAGATTTTTTCAGGATTTTTTCAGGTATGCATTACTCTGACTAATTGATGTACATATTAAGCAAAACCCTTGGGTAGACTTACCTGTGAGTGTCTTACATTTAATTTGAAGTTGTGAGGAAAATATTACTTTTCCCCATAGTGCCATAGTCTTACCTTGTAAATGGGTAACAGAAATCAACAAAGTTATCAGATTGTATGTAGCACCAGTTTTTACTGAATAATTTATCAATAAATAAACAGCATTTTTAGGAAATAATTGCAAATTGATGTTTGGACATGAAAAATTACACATCTATAGGTGTCATCTCTGTACCATTTCATTGACAAGAGAAAATAAGGGCTAATTAAATGTAGGCCAGTGTCTAATAACTATATTTTTTTCAAATGATATAGAAGGAGAAGTATACTCTACAAATTCATTTACTATTTATTTGTGCCATTAACTTAAGACAGTATCAAATCTAATGCCTACAAGGATTTGATTTTCCAAAGAGTTGTACTTGTAAGCCTTTCAAAAATTGGCTTCAAATTTGCTCAAATTTGACTTGAGATGCCACACCTTAGAAAGATTTTTCAGACTTCAACCCAAGTGTTAGGTGCTACTAACAGCGTATAGTTTGCCATATTTGTACCAAAGTTCTACACTGATTCACAATTTTGTTTACCTGTTACATTGTTTCTAGAGTTCTGGCTGGCCCAGTGTAGTAGAATGTGTTGGAAATTGGTTTGGGAAAGGAAGGTAAGAGAAATTTTTCAATTCAAGGGGGTGATGTACATAAAGTTGTGGTTCTTGTCAGCATGAGAGGGTTAATTTTTGTATTTCTTCCCACTTGCAACCCAAGAAAGTAGCAAGAAAAGGTTGCATGTTTACCCACCTGACTGTGAACAGTTCTTGAATGTGATACGTGTTAAACCGAGTCATAATATTCAGTCCAGTGCTAAGTGTGTAAAAGAGAACATTGAAGGTGTTTGAGATGGAGGGTCATTGGTGTAGAATTTTTTTACAAATAAATTACCATTTTTAGTCTAGCAATTTGTTCAACAAATTGGCCCCGGCCAGACCAACACTCAAGGTCTTAAAATAACTGAGAAGAATATGCTTCCTTTCTGTAACATCAAGAAATGGTTAGATATTCTAGTCTTCTCTGATAGGGACGAATAAATGGAGGTCCTGTCTCCTGCAGGGTTGGGGTAGGAGACGTTAATTTCCCACACACGAGATTACTGTGTGATGGATGTCCTCCCCTGGGGTGGGATGGTTGGGATATACAGGGCCGTTCTGAAAACCAGAACGCACCCTGTCTAAAGATTATTATCTATCTGTCTAAAGATTATTATCTATCTGTCTAAAGATTATTATCTATCTATCTATCTAACAGCAGGTGTTCACTTTCTTGTAGGCGTGGGTTGATAATGGGAATATGGAATTCCCACACATCTGTAGGAAATATACTTGGGTCTGCCATAGCTGGTGTATGGGCAAGTGGTCAATGGTAAGTTTTAACACAATATGACCTCTGATTCTTTTGTTTTGATTATGAGTTGTGATAAATTATGTCAGACAGTTTACCCAGTTAAGCCTTCAATTACCAGAAGTGATCAACCTGTAACTTCCCCCTGCAATATCCAGACATTATTCAGCAAATGGGTAATGAGAATACTCAAACTTATCAGTTAGAAGTTTTTATCTTGATCCAACACCAAATTCTCATAACTAATTTACAAGGAAATGTGTAGCGGCCAGAGGGCAGAATTAACAATCAGATCTTGGGAGTTGAATGGTTGAGGTTATTGTATCGTAAAAGACTCAACAGATATCCAACACTATCCATCTCCACAGCTGTCATAGGTAATATCTAAATATTTGATTAATGACAGGGGCTATTCATTTATTGTACCTGGCTGCATTATTGCTGGAATGGCCATCTTTGTATTTCTTTTCCTTGTCGTTGGTAAGTGAACATTCCTCCAACCTGTATTATTAGCTCTTCCCTGATGCTTTTATGTGATATTAATTTTCCTCTCCAGTGAAGTTTGTGGGCTGGGAATGAGTCATCATAGGTCAAATATGGACCCAGAATTAACTTCTTGGAAAAAAATTTTAGAATTGTCTACAGCTCATATCTCATGAGCTGTAGACATCTTAAAATTTGGAAAGCTTCCTTTCAAGTCTGCAAATTAATCATTTTTCAGCAACACTTACTAATTAATGAAATTAAAGAAGTTTGTTTTTTATTCAATTTCTGTAACTAAAACCTGTAACCTTAACTGAAAGACACATCTGTATCAATCAATAATTTTAGCCTTCTCAATTATACCTTAGCATCTTATCTGACATCTTCAAATCAAAATTTGAAGTTGTTTTTTGTTTCAGTTGCATAGAAAATCAGTACAGCACAGTACAGTGTTGTGATGTGCTGTAATGTGTAAAACTTAGTCAGAAATGTGTTTAACCACCAGATCCAAGCCATGTAGGCTGCCAGCCTCCTCAACAACACACTGAGGTAAGTCCAACAATTTGTTTTCTGTGCTCAAACTCAGTTGTTCTGGAACTCCAAAGAGTTTGAAGAAAATTGAAGAAGAAATGGTCTTTTTTTTAAGCTTGCATGTACTGCACTTAAGATTTACAGGACTCTTTTAAAGAGTTACTTTTAATTAAAAAAGGAAGAATTTATTACTGTCTAGTTACAGAGTGAATATAGAGATATCATTATATATTAAACCTTGTCCTCACTCCAAGGGAAAGGCTTGGAAACCAAGCACTTGACATTTAAAATGAGTTTTGATTTGTTTTTTTTGTCATTCATCTAAATCTTGGAATTACATCTTAAATATCCTGGACTATTGAATCCTTATATTTCACTCAAACAAGTGTTTTTTGTTTCCCATATGAAGTTTGTTCAGTTTGGCTCTTTTGCCATAGTGAGAATAATGTGACTGAAATCTGTTTTTTTAGCCACCACCTGCGTGTATTGATTCCTCGGTCAGCACAGAAGTTGTTACTGACCCTCAAGAGGTGAGATGATGCCTGGCCTAGGTACAAACTACATGTAAATGAGGGAATATTAAGTAGTTATTTTGAATTAGTACATAATTATTAAATATAGAAATTAGATGCTTGTCACTCTTAAGGCTCAAAGGGTTCAATTAAAACACAAACAAAAAAAACCTTGCTTTAATCTAATTGTGTTTGAAGCAACCACTGCTGAAACAAGGTGATTTCGGTTTTATCTACTGAGTTGGAAATGCTAACTGGCCACCATGAAGAGTTTCAAAGCAGATGTTTGAGCATTAGCCCTTTGTCAGAGCAAAATTAATGAAGAAATTGTGTGTGTGTGTTTGTTATATGCAGAAAATGGAGCCACACTATTGGTGGGAACATGGTAACAAGTAAAGCAATTATAATATATTAGAGAATTGATTTGAAAGATAAATTTTTGTTATAGAGTTTTGCCATTTTGTGCTTTAAATAGAAGAGCAAAGTGTTAATTATAAAACATTATTATTTTAAGAAGTATATATTAAATTACTCTCATGATGATAAAATCATAATGTAGAATGTTTAGTTTTACAGGTTCTAAGAATATCTTAACATTTACTTTACAGAAGAGAGTACTGTTACATATTTCTGGTAGGTTATGCATTACATATTATTGTTTATAGGGTAGTGAAAGAGAAGGCCTTTTAAAAGAGTCATATTCTCATGAACCTGAGTCTATAATAGTCAAAAGGAATCTACAGGTGGGTACAAATATAATTATGTATGTACACAGGGGTTTCATTAAGGGCCGGGCACCGGCCAAATTGAGCAGTTGTAAGGACAGTTTTGCCCACCTGGTTTAACAATCTGGAGGAAGGTTTTTCTCATAAAGAAGTTTAGTTCAAAAAGTTGTGCCCACCTGTGAAAACTAGTTGCCCTCCTGCTGAAAACATTAGTGAAACCCCTGTGTACATGTGTGGAGGAAAATAATTCTTTTATATCTGAGTGTAATTGTTACTGTAACTTGCTTTTGATCTTTTTTTTAATTATTTAATTCAAGTTTATAAGTTAAGTTTGTCCTCCATTCAATACCTTTAAGGTGCCAAGTGAGTCACATATGTCAGGTTCAACTGTGGTACCACCATCACATGGAGAAGCTAGTGCTGTCAGTTTTTGGAGAGCAGTTCTTATTCCAGTGAGTCAAATCATTGATATCTTATTGCTAATTATTGGTTGTATTTCTCTTTTATACCAATGATTGCTTTCATTGATTATCCTTTCTTTTATCGCTTCTCTGCCATTCTTTGTAAAGAGGTCAAAACATTTCTGTATTTCCATACATGTGTGTGTGTTTCTTTAACTTAATCACTTTGCTCTTCCTACACCTTGCAAAATGATTTATTGATATTTTGAGTAGAGCGTTGTAAAAGAAGGAAAGACGTTTTAAGGGTATACCCAGATTGCTGTGGAAGAGAATTTTTCATCAAACATGAAGGAATTTTATATACATTGTATTTGGGGAAAAGAGTGTAATAATTTTGTTCATTTGTTTTTGGTGAGTTGGTTTTGTGAAGATGCGAAAGAGTTGCATATCTATACGAACAAATAACTGTCTCAAGACTCGACTCACCCAGTAATTCAAGTGCTGTCCAGAGAAAAATCCCCTTTATTGGACAGTCATTGTCAGCATGTGTAGCAGGATTATTTAAAGGTGCTCAAACAATTGAATGTGGTTGAACAAATTTAATCACCATGCTAATAATTATATTGATTCACTGGTTCAGGCAGTGCATGGTTTTTCACTCCTTCGAGTTTAAATTTCAGTATTACATATTAATTAGATTTTGAAATTTAATAACAAAATAATAGTTGGAGTTGGAACCTGGAGGGAAATGTTTGCAAATTTCTCTTTGTAGGGTGTGATTGAATACTCTTTGTGCCTATTCTTTGCTAAACTGGTCAGTTACACATTCCTGTTCTGGCTGCCATTTTATATTGAAAACACACGTAAGTTGTCTTCATCCAGGTGCATATAAGTACATGTAATTTATCTTTTAAATTAATATACATTAATAAGCTATTCCTTTTGGTTCACGCATAAATTAATTATCTTTTAGAGTTAAGGACTTTGCAGCTATGGTCAGCAAGTATTAAGCTAACAACTGAGGTTCTCGAATCAAAGAAAATCATTCTTTCTTTATTCAAATTTTTCTGATGATCAAACAATTTGAAAATAACTGTGAAGTTAATTGTCAGTTGGGGTGTGAAGCTACCAGAGTGCTGTAGTTAGGTCAGTTTTTGGCTCATTTGTTCCTGTTGTGTGGACAAAATGAATGTGTTTATCAGATGAATGCTAGAGTCTTGAACTGTGGTAGTGCAGATAATATGATTTGAATAGTAACATATTTGCTCGTTGTATATACTTATACATTGAAGATAATTTTTCAACTGCTGCATTTCTCTTTTTTGTTCAGGTATTGGCGGTAGATTGTATAGTCCAACCACATCAGCCGATTTGTCTACTTTGTTTGATGTTGGTGGAATCATAGGTAAGGCACTCAACAAAGCGTTTCGTAAAGTACATGGTCCTTTCCGTTGTTCAGTCAGATTCCCCCCTCTTGTATGTACTCCTTTTAAATGGAACACCTGCAGTTTATATCCCTTTTGCCTTGTTGGAGTTGTTAATGATTTGTGTTAACTTCTCTCTTACGCTAACATTGACCCATTCATTACAAAAGTGTCATATAGTTGCAATTATTTTTCAAATTTTGAACACAAATGCTTGCCGAATAGCCTCCAATTGTAAGGCCCCATGAGGGGGTTGGGGGTCTGAGCATCCCGTATGCCGTTAATGTTTGGCCCGTGTCTCAATAATTCCTGTGGTTTGTATCCCCGTAATTCCAGTTCGATATCCCAAGATCTCTATTTTAAATGTCCTGTAATCGTTATTTTTTTTTTCCTCAAGTATTCCGTATCCTTGTAAGTTTTTACCAAATATCTCGTATCCCAATAACTCCTAACAGAGCCTCAGTTGTTCCAAGGGGGAATAACGCCATGCATGCAGTCACCGGTTAAATCTCTATCCGGTGGATAGCGCAGCAAGTTTTGGGAGTTGCATGGTTTTCAGGTGATTTTGGACTGTTGACTGTTTCACTTATGTTCTAGGAGGTATATTGGCTGGATTTGTCTCCGACAAAACAAGCTGCAGTGGAATTACAGTTGTTGTCATGTTGTTCCTCGCAGGGCCGATGGTGAGTGGTTTGCATTCTACACGTTGAACGTGGATTGATATAAAGATTGATTGAAAATTTCCTTTTCCCAAGGCCTAGTTTTAAGTCTTAAGATATCTAAGGCAGTATTAATACAGGATGAAGCACACAGCTAAGTGATAAATGGCTGCCACAAGTCTCCAAAAAACCGCTAGGTGTACGCGGGCAGTAAGTAGTTGATGATAAGCGTGCTGTGACATCTTCGTGTTACCTGTCATAATTTTTTTACTCTTTACCTTTTTTTTCAGCTCTTTTTGTATAGATTTTTTGCCAACGCAAACCTCAAAGTTAACATAGGTAGGTATTCTGATATAAATATTTAGTTTATACTATAGATTGGTACTGACGAAAGTGCTTTCAATATTATATTGTTAACAGTTAACGCTACGCAACGAAACAAAATCGTTCTTGAGATCCAGTGAACTCGAACTAGTATAAATTTATCCCTTTACGCTACAAGAAGGATAAAACGGTAAAAATTTGCGCAAGAAGTTTTCGTGGTAAATTGACAGTGTTAAGTAATGCGCAATATGAGTGATCAACATTCGACCAATCACAAACCGGAGAGGGCAAAAGTAAAGCGATTTTTTATCAAATACCTCTTAGGGGCGGGTTGTTCAAGCTGGTTAAGATAACCCAAGATAAGTGTGAAATTTCTTCTCAGATCAGAAAGAGAAAATCCAGCCTATTTGTCTTCGATTTAGTGATTGGATACTCCAAAGATAATAAAAAAAATGTTCCCAAACAGGCCTTCGAAAGAAGGAATCTGGGAAACGCGAATTAAAATTTAACCTTGGATTAGCGCTAATCGGCCTTCGACCAACTGATCAACCTTCTTGTTACTTTATTTAAGCACAGGCCTCCTCCTCCACATCACCCCCAAAGAACTTTAAAAATGCATTTTCACTTACGAAAACACGGAAAAAGTTTACTATGTGCACAGAAAATCGGAAAAAAATATTTTCAGTCCACACTACAAAGGTCAGCGGCCCAAGAAACGTTTGAGTGCATCCTTGATCATGTACACGATAAGTGTCGACTAATCCCACTGACGTTGGCGTTCTTATTGCATCCTACTACGTATTTATGTGGACGGTTTTCCCAACGGTGGAAAAAGATTGCGTTTTTAAATTGAGCGGGATTGAATTGAAGAAAGTTTTCAAATTGGCTCTTTTCTTGGCGGACATTTGAGGAGTTGAAATGTCGGGACTCAATGTGTAAATGAAGGGGCTTCTTGCGTAGACGAGACCTTTGTGACAAAACGCTCAATTGGACGCCATAGTTTACAATGAATTTGTGTCACTGTTTTCAGCTCTGATGATACTCAGTGGAGTCCTAGTCAATGGTCCTTATGCTTTAATAACAACAGCGGTATCAGCTAATCTGGTAAGTTTGTAACATCCTAGTCCTTTTTACATGATTAGGGTGAAAAAGAAATGAGGTAGATAAAAAAACAATCAAGAGCAGCGGTCCTAACGTGTTCATGATGTTCCCCAGGAGATGCAAATCTCTTTTCCTCTGTCTCCAGTTGGGCTTCGTTTTCAGGAACATGAAAGGGGGCTTCAAGGAGACGTGAAGTTTAACAATGGGGAGTCCGAATCATTAACTAAACACCTTCATCTGTCTGTCTAATCGGCCTGCTATGTAATATTTGCAGGGTACCCATCCATGTCTTCAAGGAAACACAAAGGCCATGGCTACCGTCACTGCTATCATAGATGGCACAGGCTCCATGGGTGAGGATCACATACTGCAGATTATAACATATGACTGTTTTATTGGCCCATTCATTTTCCGGGCTATATTTTGGGAAGTTATTTAAAGCTCATCTACAACCAAAATGTTTTTCATTATTTTCGTCTGATCTGTCGTTTAGTCGTATTGAATGCATTTCCATGGGTGCATCACTTAAACTGTTTAGAACTGAAACAAATTCAGGATCGCTCGAGGCAAATTTTGAAAAACTTAGGTTTCATTTGTTGTGACGAAATGCTCGCGCTGGAAACTTCAGCTCTTGAAAATTTGCCACGTCAATTCATGTCACCTTCTTTATTTCATCATGTTGATAATCTGATTTAACCCTGATAATCTGATTTAACCCTTTACACCCGAAATGATTATTATACATTTTCTCCATACTGTTCTCGTTACATTCCCTGTGGTACTTAAAACGAGAATTTGTCTAACAATCTAGAGATTTTTGAAATTGCGATCATTTCCTTGAGTCTCCTAACCTAAATGTTTGATTCAGTGGTGATACTGTTTGGAGAAATTAGATGCCAATTACTCTTAATAGTAACCTACAGTTGCCAGTAAACACTGATTTCTTTTAATTGCTTTACTCCAAGATATGATCGGTAGTTCTCCTTTCAAGGTCTCATGGTTGTCTTTTTGGAACAAAAATCTAATCACCATTTCACACAAGTTGTTTCTAACGTTACCTTTCTCCCATGCCAGGTGCTGCCCTTGGACCACTTTTAACGGGAATCATCTCTCCAACGGTATGTCACCGAATGGTTTTTTCTTGTAGAAATTCTCGATGACTCATACGACTCATAAGCTCTTCTTAGGGCCACGTTAAATCTACAACTTTTGAGTTACTGTGTGTCGTTAAGACCTGAGGTAACAATTTAACGTCTGGAAGATCTTGAAAAAATTCTGGAAAAGTCTTCATTTTTATTTAGTGCGAATCCTTGCCTGATCCCTGATCATCTTCGTTGCCTTCTTTTTATTCTCCTCTGTTGTAGTATTTCTCTGCTCTATCAAACTATTGTAACGGGATTTCCCTTCAATTTGCGCATTTTTAACGACTTGTGAGCGCTCAAAATATATCGACGTAGGTGTTCAGAGAAAAAAAGGTTGCTCTATTGAGAAAAGGAGGTCTACTAATGGTGCACACTCCTAATGATAAACTTTTTATTTTTACTTTTCTACCAGGGCTGGAACAATGTATTTTACATGCTAATTTCTGCCGACATATTTGCCGCCATTGTAAGTATATTTTTTCTTGAATCCACTACGCAGATTCAGTTCCTCGTAAAAATGTGTAATAAAATAAAAACTTCATCCATTTCAAGTGTTACAGCACTTGGCCAGTTTGGGCCTCCTTCTCATAAAAGCTGGGCGAAAGTCTGCTTTCAAACCTAAATTTGCGAGTCCTTCGTAGCTGTTGCTATAATTCTCTGTGTTAACAATTAGTATACTACAATCAGTTTGTCCCAATCTTCCTCGGTTCTGTCTCGACGATTCGTTTAAAACATGAAAACATGCACAATAAACAAACGACATTAAAAGTAATTGTGTGATTTAAAACTGATGTTTTAAATCTATTTTTCACTCTCAGCTTCTCAGCAGACAAGTCTGGTTTGAAATAAGTCAGCACTGTTTTGGGCGCAGGTGAGTAGTAGTCCGGAAAATATTCAAAATGATTAAGAAAAAAAATATATTTTGCCTTCTTTACTGTTATTATGGAAGGGGAGTGTTAACGTCTTGAATTCTTTTTTACTCTCCCTCCACAGGGAGCAAGTTCGCTTTGCGTATTTGGATTCTGTCCACGATAATTTGAGAAATGATAGCGAGGAGGAGCCACTTATGTACAGCAGCTAACACAAGCGGATAAAAATATGAGTGACCTAGAAATCAAACAATTTTCTTCACGCAAGTTGTCGGTGTTTGGCTTAATTTTTTACTTCAGAGTTTAAAAACTGACGCGGGCCGACGCAGTCGACAAACCAATTACAAGCCTATGAGTCTTAGCAGTCAGCCAATCAGAGCTCAGCTCTGACGGTGTCAAGAGCGGGAAAAAAAGTGTTCTGCAATCTGCCTTAATCATAAATTACGTGTTCTATAATCTAGCGAACGTTAAACATTGTTTTTTTTTTCTCCAAGCACCTACTTGAATGAAGAAATCTTCTTTCTCCTTGATAGCAGATTTAATAAATTTGTCTTTGTATTAGTAAAGGACAAGGCAAACGAATTTTTTAAATATCAGATGCAAATGAAATATATACAAAGTTTTCTATAAATTTTGAAGCTTGAATCCGAATCGGTGTAAATAGGAGATCCAGATAAATTTTTTAAGTGAAATTCTTAATCTTACATTGCCACATTCTTAGAGTAGTGTTGTAAAACAATGAAACTGAACGTTTTGGATAGGTAGTGGCCGCTTGATGAGACTAAAAGTCCCAGTTTTGCATTAGAAAGTGGATAAGAACTTTCACAAAGTGGCTTTAGTCAAAGGAAATGTTACTGCGGTAATTCGAATAATTTATAGTAAGTGTTGACGGTCTTTCAGCATACATTTCTTGGCTTGTCAACAAAACTTGGCAATACGGTATTCGTGGTGGGATGTGGGTTGGAAACTTAGCC